TATTATATAAAATTAATAAGTCAAGCTTAATATCTTCTCTAGTTAATCCTAAAATCCATTCCTTCCACCTGCATCACAGAACAGGGGTGGGTCAAGGTACTACAGGTTCACTTTGCTTTGTAGATCAAGAACTGCCTTTTCCTGAACTTTGTGGCTTTGGAGTTACTTGGAACATTGCATACTACATATATTCACAGATGTGTGCCTACTGTACTGTCCTGTGCTCTGGTATGCTGGTAGAGTATGCAGATTTCTCTGTAACCCAGAGGTCTTAAGGGCAATCATTGTAGACTACGGACTTTATGAATGATTGTATGGGTAGTTGAATGAGAGGCAAAATCATAGTCTCTTGTCATGAACAAAGCAGGTAGAGCACTAAATAAGGGATGGTCGCTTTCCCTAAAGAATCCTGGGATAGAGTGGGCTAAAGTAAGAATTTTATATCAAAGGAACTACCATAGACAGTCATAGGAAAGAAAAAAACATCTGTATGAAGACATTCTCCAAAAATTCTCAAGTATTTTGAATAATCCTTCTTTGGGAGAAAAGCTTTGGCACAACCGGAATTCAGAATGCATCTAGAATAGTTGCTTTTTTGGAAAAGTCGAACAGTTGATTCTCACAGTTGGATAACAGTATCAACAGTTAGAATGAACAAGATGCATAGTGAACTACTTAAAAGTTTCTGAAAAGCCAGTTTGCATCAGCAAGCCAGGTAAGAGCAAGAACGTGATCTCTAATGTCCAGCAATTAGAGCTAAGTGTCAGTTGAGGCTCCCTTGGACTATGAAATACAATACTGAAGTGTTCGGAACTGATGGACCTTTGCACCCACACAGAATCTGAAAGAATTTACAGAAATAAATTTAATTGAGACATGAAAGAGGCACGCTTTGAGTGAAAGCCACAATTAGTGCCCTGAGATCTCTAAATTACAGGACGTGGTTCCTTTTTTTGGTTGTGGGTAGAGCTTGGGTTGGAAGAAGGTGAGAAAAAAGGGTTCTGTTTTGTCGTATTTATTGGAAATAAGGAAGTTAAAGAAAGAAATTGTGTTATTTCTAGGGTCTTGCTCTAGGAACCTCCTCTTTTTAACTGCTATTAGTAAAATATACTTTCAGATTCTTAGACAAGGAAGGAATGCCTCCTTCAGAGAGGAAGGAGGCATTAACTGTGCTGGGAACATGACTTAAACATAAAAACATGATATATCAAAGAAAAATATCCCCAAAGTATTAAATTTCATCTCACTCCCATTTTACCAAAATCAGTAAGAAGCTACAAGTATGAAGAAATTTAGTTTAAGGGAAGCCTATGAATCAAGCAAGGTAATTTGACAACACTGTAATAAGGTTAGTGCAGTAACTACTGGAAACGTCGTTTAGCGTGAGAATGTGTATGCCTTATGAACCCCTTCAACACTCACAAAATATTACATAATAATTTTCACTTCTTCAAACAAATGAAAGCATTATTCCTATTTGATGTCACTTCAGTACGCTGCTGCAAATCCAGGAACTTAATAAATTCATAAGGATTTACTACATTTATTATTAAGAAGTATAAGGTTACATTACTTTCTTTCGTATGACCAAAAAAACATTTGCAGAAATATTTGTTCAAACAAAATACAGTATTAAGTTTGGAATAAAGTACTCCTTGTTTGCACAGGTGATACACTTCTCTTGACTGACTGAACATTTTTAGTTTCAAGGCAGGTTTTAACTATCGACTGTATGCAATAGACTACTTCTTCTCCAAGTAACCTTTACATATATTTGGCTATTCACACTATATACATAACATAAAAGATATTTTCAACTGTCACTGTCATTCAAGTATTAGCTGTCATCAAATGATTTAGAGCAATCATTTTCAGAACACCAAATTAATATTATTAGAATCTAAATGTTGTCTAAATACAAACAGTAGAAAAGAAGGGTATTGCCCTGGTATCCAGTACATCAAATACAAAATTGCTCTACTCTGATTATGACCCTGAGTCATAAATTTCACATAAAAATATGTTATGCTTTAAAGAAATGACTTGCATCTTTCAAAAAGCTGGTGGAAATTAAGGTTAGTTAGGACACTTGAAGAAATAGCCTGTTGCTGAAAACAATCACATAGTTCTACATAATTCTAAAAGGAATATCTACATGCATACATATCTTCCAACTATATCTATCAATTATTTTCTTTTTCCAGTTTTACATTTTTCAAGTTCCATTATTACCTTATATCCAGATCCTAACTGATGTATTGCAAAAATCTGTGCTGGGTTGAGTGCTTCAGTGAATACATACACTGCTCCAAGCTGGCCACAGAACACTCTATTAGCATCAGCAGTCTCCGAAGAGCCAAGAAAACATTTATCATAGCTCTGTATCAGAAAGAGGCAATGTTAATGAAGTTTAGTCATACAAACTATACAATGAAATAATATTCATGTACAGCTACTGAAGCCAAAAAAAATAAAGGGAGACTCTAATTAAGAAAATAAATCAATCATTTATTACTTCAGTACCTGATTCCCTGTAGTGAACAACTTCATTTTGAATATCATAGCATTATTTTTTTTATGGGTCAGTATTACAATGCTGTTTATAATTGGCTTTTAGGATTTTTTTTTTATTAATTGTTTGACACACAGCAGAGAAAATTAGAACAGTACATTCAAGCACCAAATAACCTTCCCTATTGCCTTCTAGGAAATGTGAAAGCCTTGATGTTCCTTGTAATTATAATCAGAACTCCCACTGCTAACACACAAGAACATGCGCTGAAATGCACCCTTCTTTCCCTGTTGTGATAACAGAACTAAACATCGCTAGCACCAAAAAACAAACATGAATTTTTCTAGTTTGCAGCTGGTGCACAGTCTTCCTCTATGACCACAACCTATAATGGTTTGGTTTGACCTAAAACTCTTCTGTCTTCTTCTACGGTTACAAGAGATGTTATGTTCCATTCGTCCTTCCAGCAACTATCCCTCTGCACAAAGACCTTCTGCAGTTCTCCACCTGTCCATTTCCTATTATTTCAGATTTGAAGTGGGTTTTTGTGGCTTTTTTTTTTTTTCAATTTAATTTTTTTTGCAAGAATTAGGTTAAGTTCTTCAGGTGCTTCCAAGAAAAAATGCTTCCAGATGAAACAAAGTTTAGAACTTAATTGTCTAGACTAAAGATCCAGGGAACTGGAAAACAAGACCCAGCACAAGAAGACAACAACAGAAAGCACAAGGATCTTTGCAAGGCTATTCTCTTGGCTTCCTTGAGTCACATACATTTTATTTAATGGAAACACGGATCAGGCCTCACTTTTTGACCCGAATCAGCAAACCAGTAGAATCTGCATTAATAAGCCTGTTCTTTCATCTTGCTTGGATGCTGAGTTTTAGCCTAAGAAGAACTTTTGTCAGTCTGGAGAATGGAATCAAATATGGTGAACTGCTACAGAAACTGATTTAGGTGGATAAGCTGTTAACAAGGAAAAGGAGACTGTCTAAAGAGTTAGGAAGTCAAAGATTTGGAGCTCAGCTTTGCAATGAGGTGAGGTAAAAAGTATTGAGGATTTTATCTCTGATTTAACCTCTTTTGACCAAATACCTCTTTTATTTTTTTTCCCTTGGAATTTCTAATTTTTTTTTAGAAATTTTTTTTTACAAAACTAAAAAAAAAATCTGAAAAAAACTACATCAAAATTGATTCACAAAGTCTTTTTGCACAGGATGCACAGTGCAAAATACAGGCTATGAAACCACTTTGACTACTGGTAAATCTAATGGTGAAACTTCCTAACAATTTTCAGTAAAGTCTTCTTAGCCTTGAAGGCTTTACAGACACCTGCACCATTACTGTCAGAAAGCGTTAAGTCAATTCATGCTGAGCAATTGCAATTTCAATGCTTATTTGAGGAATTTGTTTCAGCTACTGATGCCACCCTTTTTCCTAGTTTATACTTACAAATTCTGAGACACACATTCCTGCCTATTACAAGGGAGGGTGTTTTCCTGGATTATTCTAGTTATCGTTAATTGTAAAACAGCCATTGTAGCTCTCAATGGATTCCTAGTTTTACATGTAATTACATTCTAGGTCTGTTAACCTGTAGTAATTTCCAGTTGTCTTTTTTCATTCTTACCAGATGATTACACTTTCCTGATTTCTGGTGCTTCATTCTGGATTAGGTGTTTCCATTATTTCTAATTGGAGGGGATGGCTTACTCCTGATCTTCTAGTAGGTTTTATTCACTTCTGTTTCAGATTGATTCACCCATTCATTTACTTAAAAAATCAGCACCCAGTACTCACAGCTCATTTGGTCTTCCTCCACCCATCTCACATTTCCACAGTTTTAAACCTGACAGACACCAACTGATCCAAGTTTGTTTGTTTATTTCTGTACATCTCTAGTAGTATGTCATTAATCACCCCAAGGTGAGGTGACTGACAGATCTGCTTCATTCAGTGCCTTGGTCCAAATCTTCCTATTTCATTTACATAAAAAATTAAACTCTTGGGACTTATGTACCTTGTTACTTAAAGACATAACTTTATCCTTAATATTTTTGATGCTTATAAGCCTTCTTTCAAATGCAACCCAAGTGCTACTGATGTCATCAACCTGTTGGCTTTTCACCACTTATGTCAACTTTTAAAATCCTTCTCCAGTTTCCTTACCTTATAATGGAAATGCAAAGTTTTGTGAAAGACATCAGGACATCATCAAGTTTATCTTCATCCAGTTATCTGAACAAAAATCATCTACCAAACCTCAATATCTCCATATTCTACATCTTGAAGACAAGTTTTATGCTTCTCTCATGTTATTTCCCATAACTGGGGAAAATTCCTAATCTAACAGCTGTAATTAATAGCCAAACTCTTCCAATTTACACACTGTTACATTCATACATCTTTCCTGCATTTCTCCCTCTTTCCACTCTGTTTCCTAATTCTGATATAACAGATTTTTTTTTTTTATTAAAAATAGAGAGCTGATGATAACTAGTGTCTTTTATAACTTAGTTTATTCTCCAGTGGACAAAGTAAAACCTTAGCAGAAACTTAAAAGACTTACATCAAAACATCTAAAGCTTGGTAAACCAATCTCACCTTAAGAAAAGATTGTACTTCTGTTACATGAGAAAGTAGAAAGGAAACTGTGAAGAAAATATGCATAGAAGGAGCAGCTCTTCCTGTGAAGCATTTATCATTAAGGATTACAGATCCCCACACCATATAAATAACAACTCAGCCCAGATCCTCTCAGACCTCAGCTGGCTTTTCAATCACCACATTCTCACCTATCACAAAAAAACTTTATATTACCAATGAGAAACTATGATCTGCAAAAACTGAACGGCTTGCCTTTTCTTGAAAGTAGAAATGCTACCAAGAAAATAAAGAATGATGATCGGAAGCTTTGGCAAGCAGAGCCCTCCTTCTTTAATTAAGGTTCTCTCCCTTTCAAATCCAACTTTGCCTCTAGAATTTAGCAGAAGACAGTTAATTTCCTTAAGTACAAAAGAGCTTCCTTATCCTATACAGGCAGTCAGAAACAACTAAGAATTATATTATAAATAAGAAATAACAGAAGTGTAGCAAGCTGATGAATCAAGCAACTCTGAAAGCCTAGCTTTAGCTGAAGGCAAAGCACAAGAGAATCACTTTGCCTCCCTCAATCAGAACTCTGAGCCAGAAAAAGTGTCTATTTTCTGCACCATTAGGTGTAGACTCTCAAACCCCCCAAAGCAGAAGGTACGAAAAGAGAGCACACACAAAAAAATTGCAATCTGTTTAGAATTCATTAAAAGAATTTAAATATAAAAAATATGAAAACAGATGCATTTCCTGTAAGAATATACCATTAATTTGAACTCAGACCAATTAACAGATACAAGTGTATTTACAGGTATACATGCAGTCTTCTCCAGGTAAAAATGACTGCTTTCTGCCTGTGGGACAAGCAGATGCAAGATCACTGTATCTTTGCTCTGAGCTGACTAATGCTATGCAACTGTACATCTCTCAATATCTTTCAACTGGTTTGAATGACCATAAGGGAGGACATATCTCTGTAAAAGTTTACTACCCAAGAAAATTGGTCAGTATTTCAGGGATGTAATTCTGTAGCAGTTAATTTGTACTTGCTAACAATATTAATTAAATATTAATATCTTAATACTTAGCACAGCATTTTTAATATTGGTCAACTGCCTGTTTGCTAATGTCAAGTTAAACAACTAAAGGTAAAATATACTTATTACTGGGAGACAGATGCAAGAACTCTGACTTTGCTAAATACTATAAATCTCTTGACACTTCTCCATGCTTCTGTTTTCTAGCTTTTAGATTTTGTCTATCTATCTATCTTGCTGGTATAAAATTGTAAACTCTGCATAGAAGAAATGACCTCTTACTATACTTATACAGTTCTTAAAGCAATATGACTGATCATAGTTCAGCCTACTCAGTTCTACTGCAATTAAAAAACCTACTTAAAATATAAAGTTCAATAATGCAAAAAGCGTGGGAATCTTTTAACCATTAACAAATATCTCCTCTTGAACCGAACACAGTACTTAATATAATACAAAAATTGAGTACTTTCATAGACATTAGCAATATGCATAGTCATTTGGCAGAATCAATCAGTTTTTCTTAAGGACTTTTCTCAAGTTAAATCTGTAAAATGTGTAACTACCATCTTTTCCTATGGAAAGAGCTAAGTATTAATCCATTGTAATCAGCATCCTCTATAAGATATCATGTATTAAAAATATTATCTGTAACAGTATCTCCAAGCAAAACCTCTGAAAATATCATTAAAGTAGCTATGTAAAATACAGCCCCCCCCAAATCCCCAATATTCTGAAAAATATTAATATATAAAATCAATAATATTACATTTTATTAAGTACATAAATAAGGAAGAGAGATTAAAGGAGAAAGTTAAAAAAAGAAAATTTGCAAAGATCTAGAGAAAACAGACATAGTACCTTTTTTCTTTTTCAATTTACTTTAAAATGAAAATCTGTGAGACGGGAAAAAAATAAAATCTTACATCATTCGTGTTAACATGCCAGGCCATGTCACCATAAGATACCAGCTGACCATTCACGTAACATCGTATTTCACTGTTTCTCCATCGATTATAGATGTGTACAATGCTTATCATGTACCACTGGAAAGACATGGAAAAACAGTATATAGTGGGAGGTTTTATGCTATAAAATATAAAGTTAATGAATGGCATTAAAAATAAGTGACCAGTCTTGTCAAGTTATACAAACAGATGAATCCTTGCAAACTCGTATAATTAAAAGTCAAGTCAGTGGAACTTCAAGTCCAGTCAGCAGAACCGTGCCTAAATGTAATGATGTACCTACCTGCATCCCTTTATGGGATTAGAACCAAAAATGCATACATACAATTAAAAAGTTCAATATACTTCCATTCCTGAAAGTGTAATTTAATTTAAACACCATAAGCTGTAACACAAAACACAACTGAGTTCTGATGGGAAATCCAGTTCTACGTGCGCTTACCTTAACAAATTCATATCACATATCTCTGCTTTTTCTCATAGTTCTCTGTCAGAAATTATTAAATAAAAGGAAAAAATTCACAACAGCAAATTTTACAGCCCAGTTTAAGATATCATTCTGATTGCTTCATATGATTTTCTTCTTCTGTTCTTTATCATTCCACCAATTTCTGGACAACTATCATATTGTTAAAAATGCATTATATAATCAAACAGAGAAAGCATCATAGTAAAATGCTTTCAAGTACAGCTATGGTGATTTTCAAATAATCTGTTCAACAGGAATTGTTATGTCCATGATGGGTAAGTTCAAGAAGAAAACCTTAAGTTTCCATTAAAATTGAACCTTTAAAATCATCTAAGACTAGGAATGGAAATTTAATCTCTAAGATCTGCAAATCAACTCATACTTAACTATAGTGGGTGTCCGAATTATTTCAGTATATACACAAACCAGACGAAAAATGGACATACTGGAGAAAGTCCAGAGAAGGCCACAAAGACAATTAAGTGATTGAAGCCTCTGACACATGAGGAGAGGCTGAGGTATAGGTCTGTTTAGCCAGGAGAAGAGAAGGCTCAGGGGGATCTTGTCCATGTCTATAAATACTTGATGCACAGGGAATAAAGAAGATGGAGACAGAGACTCCTCACTAGTATCCAGTGACAGGACCAGAGGCAACGGGCACAAATTGAAATACAGGAAACTCCATTTAAACATATATAAGAAGGGTGGTAGTAAGCAGTAAGGATGGTCAAACACTAGCACAGGTTGCTCAGAGAAACTGTGGAGTCTCCTTGCTTGGAGATATTCAAAACCCGACTGGATGACATCCAGAACGACCCGATCTAGGTGTCCTTTCTTGGAACGCAGGGTGACACTAGACTGTCTCAGCACATCCCTTTCCAGTCTTATTGATTCTGTGAAACAGTCAGCTCATCTGTCTTGAAAACAGCAGTTCATATTTTAATAATTTGGAATAGTAATTTACACTTTACTTGTCTTCCTTTTCTTGGTATCTGTTTCAATTATCATCTTTTGAATTTCTGTTCAGCTAAGTCTCATTTTTTTCAAAGCAGAGAACTTCTGCGTCCCTCGGGGCATTATTTTAATGTCACTTGGTGACTGTCTCTAAGCTGGAGTAAGTAGATACAGAGCCTACTAATATAAAAATCTGCCTCCCTCTATCAGAGAAAATAAAACCAAAAAGTTGTCACATGTTGATGTTGAAATAAGACAGAGCACAGAATTACAAATTAAAAGCATACAGCAAAATATATTTTGACAATAATCGTTGCCATAGTCCTTGAATTGAGCTGTATTCTGTTATTATTATCTATATATATTAGAATACTTTTTAGAATATTTTTTCACAACTGTTTCCAGGTCTTTAAAAATATATTTTCATTTTTCCTCCCTTAAAACCTACAGTTAACAGAAGGGGGAAAAAAACCTAGTAATCATACAATAGTACATAAAAGTATCTATCTCACTTACTGCATATCCAAGTAAACAGATTTATTGGGCAATACTAGATTAAGGACACACTGCTACAGCTTTGGCTTCTGAAGTCACATGTGGCCAGTGTAATTTCTTTTTTCCAGGCAATGATGGACAAAGTATTTTTTGTAGGCTACTCTCCTCACCCCTCAAAAAATCAAAAAATCAAAAAACAAACCCACAACTCAATAAGCAAATTTTGTTCCTCATTTTGTAGGCAAATTCTATTTCAGAAAAGAACATCCACCATAAATTCAATAAAATATTCATAACTCAAAATCTAGAAGCTTAACTGGTGACTATGCTAATCAGAAACTAAGTGCAAACTGCATGACTAGAGCTCTGCTTTCACCAACACTTCTTTTCCAAAGCTCCCACACGACCTAACATAAATCTCTTCAAAGAAAAATTCCCTTATCTCTTTCATTCAAAGGTTAATTTACCAATAATCTCCACTGAGTGATGATGATTTTAAATACTTTCATCCCAACAGCAGGTGTTCTTTGCAATAGCACTATTTAAAGTTTTACCTTTAATAATTCTTTACTCATATTTCCAGTTCTGATACTTTTGCAGCAGAAATCAGCTGACAGCCATAAGCCCCAAGTTTTATCCATTTATCTATCTCTGATTTTTCTTTTGCAGTGCTGTAAGAGCATTTCTGACAACATACCAGTTTGTAAGACTCTCCCTGGGTGTAGCTTAAGCTTAGTACATGACTCATTCATTTGGAAATAAATAGTTCATTACTTTTGTTTAAACACTGTCCACAGAGCCTATAAGGAACTAAAATGTGCAATGCTATCTTGGGAGGGCTTTGGCATCCATGTAAAATTTTAGGAAAGTTATATAATCTACTTTTTATAATCTTTTCTTTCTCCCCCATGTTAACCCCCATTCATGCACATGCAGCTTATTTTAGTTCAAGTCTCACTTCTTCCACGCAACTTTTTTGAATCTTTAGCATTGCTGCTGTCAGAGCACTACCTATGTCTGTTACTCTGACCCACAAGGCAAGCTCTCAAAAAACACTGAGCTTTTCTTTACTTGAATACACATGCACACACACACATATGCACATAGACTCTATCCTAGCGTATTATCAGAACTAACCCCCTGCACTTGAATTAACTAAATTTACATTTTAAACTATCATTTCTTTTTAGCCAGGGAAGTATTCAAGTATTAAAAAATGGTTTACTCTTTGTGTCATATTTGTAACTAGTATCAATCTAGATAAAACAAGCAACATAGGTTATCAAAGCTAGTTCCTAAAATAGAGGACGACAAACTCCACTGAGTTGAGTCCACAATGCATTTTCATCAACAGGAAAATAAAGATCCTTCTGAGATTCCTGCTTGCTCACTTGCTTCGTATCCTTCCATCCCTGCATTTTAACAAATAAAAATTATCTTATTGCATGATAGTATAATTTCTTTAAGGCTTTCAGAGGAGTATAATGCCTAAAGTTCTTGGGGAATCCACACAGCATGTATCAACTGGCTCACAAACCTGTTCTTATGCACAATAAGAATCCTTCAAATATTTCAACAGAAGTGGGGGACAAGACTTCCGGTGCAATATTGCATTGCTTTGTCCCTGATATGTTTATCTATGTATTTCCTAATCCTTCTTTTCCTTCTTTCTAGCTTCTACCCCATTTTGATGCTTAAGAAATCAGGCATGATAATATATAATTCTAAATATCAGCAAAGCCTTTTCCTAAAATTTGTATAATTTTTCACCAGCCTTTTGTTTGACAAAATAGATTATATACCATGATTAAAAGTTTAGCAAATTTCATATTAACATTTCATTGGAACTTTGGGGTGCCTACTGTAAGGTCCTGGCAATTAATTACTATCTTTTATATTGATTTCTATATCTCTTCTACTGACATTTCCATTTGAGACACTTCCTCTGACTCATTCCCATTGACTCGTCTTGCAGTAAACAATGATGCAATTAATTCATTTAACTTTTTTGTTATGATACTATATTCTTCAAGGGCTCCTATTAAGCCTTAGTCATCTAATTGTCCCTATAGACTGGGAAAAAAAATATTGAATTGTCTTATCATCTTACATATAATTCACTCTAAGTTATACTTTTCTAAGTATTCTTCATTTTGATACAACTTCCACTTTCTGAATAACTTCTTTTGACTTCCAAAGGTCTCTACTTTGCTATTTTTCTGTTCTCAGGTACGCTGTGAGGAACTTTTAAACTTCCAATTGGATTTTTTTGACTGATAGTATATTTGCTCTTAGCCTTTTGTATCTTTGGATTTAAGTAATTTCCATACCACTATCAAACACCTCCATCTTTTAACTGCTTCTCTCCTTTTTTTTTTTTTTTTTTTTTTAAAGAAGTGAGGGCAGTTCTTTGCAGTTCCTTTAAAAAGAAAAATAGAAAATCCTGTATACTCAAGCATATTCTGCATTTCTCAAGACAACGTAAAGCAAGAGTCAACCTCTGAGCTCTCTAAAAGTTTCAAAAAGAAAAAAATCCAAATGCTTCTGGTATTTAAAAGTTTGAACTCTCGTCCCAGTAAGATGCACCCAGTTATAGCAAGGTAATGTAAGCTTCTTTATATTAGTATGCTTTCTGATCTTTGCTAGTTCATCACAGATGCTATAAACATCCTTATCATGTGGCTAATAATTTAATCTGAGTAGTATGGTTTTCCTACTTAGTTACTGATTTTCAGGTCACAGAAACTCTGTTATTTATTGTTAAAATTGACTTATTTACCTGATTAAGTCTTTAACACAGGGCATCACTGCTCTATTGCAAGATCTGCCCCATTGTCACTCGTAACTGTAAGTACAATTTGCCATGAGTGCCCGCTGATGATCAAGCCAACCAAAGTTTATGATTCTGTGATTCTAGGATTTATGATACTTCTTATCATACTCTATCATGTCAGTAACCTCATTTAAAATAGACATTCCAGTTTCTGTTTTATTTTTTAGATACACAGAAGCAGGGATATATGTATGTCTCATAATTTCCTATTACCTATGTCTCATTTATGTGAATGTTCTTTGCTGATGTTGTACAGGTGTTCTGTTGATTTCTCTTCTGTTCTGTATCTGAGGACATGGTTTTCAGGACTTTACTACTACACAGCCTGTCAATTTTTTATACTTCTGAAATCTTTCAAGTTTAATCACCCACTGCTGAGTAAGTCACATTCTTACTCCATAGTACAGTACAGAGAGATGAGGCATCACACACAAAGTACTTCCAAAATGTGGAACTTACTTATTTCAGTCTGTAGTACAATTAACATAGGCGCTCAGAATTAGAAACACCAAATAAAGCTGTTTGCTCTTGACTACTGTGCTTTCCTGTTCATACTTTTACAAGGATTGATGCTGAGGCTGGAACTCAAGGGAATGAAAATTACTGGGGCTTACTAATACACAAAAATTTCACTTTGGCATTGCAAAAAGCAGTATAGACATATTAAATGCCACACTACCAAAGCTAGTTTAGCTCTATTGAGAAGTCAATTTTACTACACCCACATTTTCTATTTGGGGAGATGATGACCAAATTTCTCCAGGTTTGGTTTTTTTTTTAAATAAATAATTGCTTTCATTATGTTGTTAAAATACACTAATTAAAACCTAAAGTATCCACTTAACATGCCTTAAAGTTTTAAACTAATATTACATATTATACATATTTGAATGGTGTCATATGACATCATAGTTAACAGTGGGAAGATCTTCACATGAACATAGTATCTTTCCGATCTGCCTACATAAAGCTTTGATCAGCTGGCTTGAATATATAATTTAACTGTGATTTAAGTAGAGTAGAAAGAGCTAAAATTTTCCAGGGATGGCATGAAGGAAGTTAGTCATTCATAATAATAATTATCAAAAGAATATCTTGATAAAATATAACAAGTAAATAAATGATCAGCTAGATCCCAAAAGCTAGTTATCAATAACAAAATACAAAAGTTATCAATTTCATTTGTTCCTAGGTTGAGTGTTTATCAGTAGCATCAGACATGCTACTTCAAAACTGAACTGTCATAAAAATTCTTTTCTGGCTATAAAAGTAAATAAAATTTGCAAAACAGAATTGATTCATTTCAATACACTCAGCAGATATGTGTTTATAAGGCTTTATACATCCCCGAGTAATATGTTAGAAAAAGACATTACTATGTTTTAAAAAACCACAAATGATCTCAAAGCTACATGACAGAATTAGAATCAGTGATTCTGAATCACAAATACCAAGAAAAATTGTAGAACATAAAGCTGAGGAGTGAACAATGGCAATCCCTCCCAAAGAGATTCGTTTCTCAAAACAAAACAAGTACTGAAATTCAATATACAAATTCTAAGGCCAATATAAAAATGAAATGAGCTTCACAGCAAAATACATATAGGCTGTTATCAGTGACAAACACATAATGTTCACTGGATGGAAAAGTCAATGCTTCAGTCAACTAACTGAAATATTGAAGCCAGCAGAATCATTGTTCTCCTAGGACTACTAGGCATACAGTAGAAATGAACATTAATATGATCTAGAGAAATAAACCAGATTTACTATGAAAAATGAGAAATCCCAAAACACCACTAATATAGAAGAAAGTTCAGAGCCTTATATCTCCCAGCAATAGACAACAAAACTCTAGCATTGCCAGCAAAATTATTACAGACATTGGCACCAAAGATACTAGGTACGGAGTGTTCAGAAATAGAATGGCGGCCTTTTCAACATAAAATACAACCATTTTACAAATACTCAAAATTCTTCTCTATCTGAAGCTAATTAAGTTGTATTTTTAAAAATAGGTTGATTTTATAGAAGTGTTACTTTATAAATTAATACATGTTTCGTGAATTGATTCTTGACTGTAACTGACATAAAACTTCGCATGACCATCGGAGAAATTATAGATTATTAGTAACACTTGGCACTAAAAGGTTTTTAGCACTTCTTCCCAGAAGCACTTTGTCACATTTTCAATGTTAGTATTTATTGTGAATACCACGTTGCTTACCTTGCGTGGCTGAAAATCATACTTCACACAGTGCTGGAAGCCTTTGCCTTTTGATTTCAGTGATGTAACTATTAAGCAGTTGCCAACAAAATGAGCAGAATACCCAACACCTTTGCTAGTGCGGAAACTGAAAAGAAAGAATTATTAATGAAATTGGAAAAAGGAGAAAAACTGTAAAATAAAACAAGGTCCAAACACTACTTTAAATTGCCATGAGAAAGAAAATAAATGAGTATCTGGAATGGTGAACCCAATTTCCTTTCTCTCCCTGCCATTTCTTTGGAGGGAGCTACTAACCTTCATCACTAACTTGATTCCAGGCTACATTCTAAAAGTCAGTACTCTTTTTTTTTTTTTTTCTCTTTACAGAAATCCAAGATGGTAAATATTGTATCTGTCAGTTTTTCCCCTCAGTTTCCTAATTAATCATTATTTAAAATAAGACATCTGATTTAAGTTGTATAGAAAAATCCATCACAGAAAAAATGTGAGATGCCTTACAATTTTATGGGTTTGGGAGACTAATGTGGCCAGTATGACATACAAGTTTGGATTCGTCCATGCAGAAGAAATATTTATTTTTCAAGACTTATGATTTAGTTAGGCTAATGATCTATGAAGCTTTAATCATCTGAGTTGTGGATTTAATTTTGGCAAATTGATAAAGGACTACAATTTTAACAAAGTTTAGTGAGGGTTTCCAGCTTTCCTTTGACAAATATCATAAAGACAGATAATGCAGAAAGCTCATACATTTCTCTACTTGTATTTGAAAACAAAAGCATTGTAAAGAGAAAATCTGGACTTCTTAAAAGACATTTTGCAAAAGCAGCTGGTGGAAATTAATGGATGACATTACATAGAGCATTTTTTAAAAGGTAAGTCCATATCTACAGCTATTTCACTTATTCTCTTCTAAAAAGTTAAGTATAATAAAGAGAAGTCTGCTATCACTAACATGGAGCACACTTTATACAGCTCTTAGTCTTTTTTTTTTTTAACTCATTACTAATCAGGTCATAAAAATAACCAATGGCTGAAATACAAGGTCTAAATGATGAACTTCATCCATAAATTCTGAAACGCAGCTTTTCAAGTATATAAAAAAAAAAGACATTATTAATTTTGAACATTTCCATATACTCCTGTCACCCACTAATTAACATGTACTTATTTCCTTAATGTAGGGAACTTATAAAATAATTTCACATTTTTTCAATAATGATGTTTTAAATGTTTTCATTGTTGTAACATATAATCAAACATTTTTACTAGGTTTTTCATTGAAACGTTAAGAGATGAAAGGCACATGCAAATACTCAGTTCAGATTTCATCTTACTTAATAGCTGCTGAAATTCTACAACTTTCATCTACCCCACTATATAAACACAATCTCAATTTCAATATGCATAAAAATTACATAGTTATAGACCTAATTCCATCTTCAGAAATCTACAGTTAAATCTGTATGTGTATATTAATGGAGAGAATAAGATTTTCCTCTTTCCTCACTGTCAAAAATCTAGTTAATAAACCACACCCTTCTGAAAAAAATAAACACCTCACAAGATAGGTGATGTGACTAGACCCTGAGGTGGCCAGAGCTTAGATGTTCTTCTCCTGTGAGGGAATTTTTAAAGCAGGTCAAAAACAAACACTCAAATTCTAGAAAGCTGCTTTTGTTATAATTAATTAGAATACTTCTATTAAATGTGAAAAACAGAGTGATCAGGTCAAACAGAACAGGAGCAATAACATCTATAGACAACTCTTCTCCACCCCAATGGGTCCTTGCGTTGAGGTCCTTACTTCCAGTCTTGATTTCAGTCATCTTATGAGTTGCAGCACACTATGCAGCCTTATGAACTCTGATCATCAAGATGGTTGTATTGGCTTTGAGGCATGGCTTGGTCTGTTCTTTCCCTTTAGCAACCTGTGAAGGCACTTCGGAAGTTTTATTTCCCCAAATTCAGGGTGTGGTTTCCTCATTCTTCTGATTGTTTCTATACGTAGTACAAAGTCCTCTCTCCCCACCAGCTGCTGTGCTGGAAAGGAGCATTATTCCCTGCCACAGCCCTTTGTACACTCTTTTTAATAAACCTAAAAAACCCCTCTCTAACTAAAGATAAGATATAATCTAAGAATGAAGAGAAAAATTACATACTGTCCATCACCACTGACCTCAACAGTGAAGATAATTTCTAATATTGCCATTCTCCTATGTCTTTTGAAGACTGTTTTAAACACGGCTCATTTCAATGATCTGGCTTTCACAATGACCCCATAGGCAGCTATACCCAACAAAAGGAACAGTGAAGAGCCTTGTGGAATAACACTACTCATATACATATATAACCTGTCTATGCATGTACACAAATAACCGGCATGACCACGGTACTAAATTTTGTACAAGAACATGAAGGTTAAAAACCTTAAAATACAGTTTTTACAATAAGAACAACTGAATGTGCTGTGGGCTAGTTTGAGACTCTGATTTACCTCCTTGGGGCTTTATGCCACTCAGAGAACTTTTCACCAGGTAGTTGCATCTCTCACAATGCCAAATTTGTTTCTCAGCAACATACGTCATCTCTACAAGCTAAAATACTTCTGGCTAACAGAATCCCATTCTGAAGGAGACTGACAAAAATACACAGATTCACTATGTTCTGACATAGTGTAGAATTATTTGATTAGAGGTGTCAAATAAAATATATTTTTTTTAAATTACCAACAGCCAATGATTGTAAAATTTATCAGGTGATTTCACCTGATAAAACATCATTAAAATTGTGTAAAATGCATCCTACTACTTTGAACAGGAGCTAGTAAGCATTTTGGGCTGATTTTGTTACCATTATGGTCAAACCAAACTGTTCCTGAAATTTTAAACACTGAATTGTCCTTACATGTGCAACTTCCTGGAGTTCAGCATATGAAGAAAAGCAAGCAATGAAATAATAAAAAAAAAAAAAAAAGCTAATTTCTTAGCCAAAGTCTTCATTTTGGAATGGAATGAATGATTTTCTAAACATGAAACTTAGCCAAGATTTTACTTTTTCTTGCCCAAATGAATTAACATTCTAATACAACAGTAGTTGAGAAATAGAACTCAAGTATGTTCTCTGTTTACCTCAACATTGTAATATATCGATTATGCTAATCTTCACATTTTATTTCTTGCCAAAGGTAAAGTAGGCTAGGACTGGTCTCTAGGATACCGCACAGAAATTCTCTTACCAATTACCTTCACATGCAGAACTTGCCACATCCAAAGACAAAATGCACAGAGACGAGAACAGTACTGTCAACAACCATATGGTTTTATGAGCCTTTAACTACCTCCCACAGCAGCTGGTGTACGATTTTACTACGGATCGTTCATAAAACCCTTATGTTTGATTTCAGCCAGTTTCTCAAAGCAGCTACTGGATGTTATTACACTTCAATAGCAGGTAAGCATTCTTCCATCCATTGGTGGAACTGTTTAGTGATTCTAGTTTCTTTAGCTTAGGATTTTACGAGCAATTTAACATATGATCATAGAACTGAGATTGAGACTATATTAATTCATTCTTGCCTGCAGAAAAAAAAAAAAGTTTATTTTCTACTAACTTAGGAATTCCATTATGTGCTTTTGTAACTGTTCTGCATTATCTCTATTAGCTCTAGAGAAGGACTGAAAAGTCTAGACAGTTTTGTTTGTGGGTTTGTTTTTTATTTTTCTTGTCCCTACATCAGTAAAAATAAAATTTAGAATGCTCTTTCAGAAGTTTTAGCTATTCTTCCATTAAAGGGTTATGGAAGCACTTGAATGTTTTAAGGACAGAAAGCAACAATTATGACAATCCAGCCTCAGTTCACCCTCTAATTCCTTTACAGACCCCAATACACAACTTGAAAGCAAGCAGCTCTTAAAAAAAAACAAACAAAAAACCCCCCGAACCCCCCCCCACAAAACAAACAAACAAATAAACCAACCCCCGCCCCCAAAAAACAACACAAAAAACCCCACCAAAAGCAATCTCAATATCTGGATTGATTTTATCTAATTCCAGGCCTTACGTAGAAGTAATGTCACCTCATCTCCTTTTTTAGCAGAAAGAACTATAGAGATTTAGAGGATGGAAATTTCCAGTTGAGCATCCTTAAGATTAGCCCCAATTTCCTAAATTTGCACTGTCTTTCTGACAAAGAATCTACAGCTCATTTTTGAGGAAGCATTTCCAATGATCTATTAAACTGTGATGATGATGATGATGATGATGATGATAGGGTGTCTTATTATAATTGTGATAAAGTGACCATAGTATTGTGTTTCTAAAAATTTGAATTTTCCTATTTCACTGTCTACCCACTGGATCTCAGATTAAGCAATCCATCAACATCAGATTTTGCATAAATTCTGAAAAGAGAAGCCAAGAGCATCCTTAATTTCATCATGTTGGGTTTTTTTGGGGGGGGGGGTGTTTTGATTTTTTTTTTCTTGGAAGGTTTCATTATAAAATGTGTTTTCTAGAGCACAGTTCACTCCAGAGTGTTCTCTGAATACTACCAATTTTTACTATGGTCTCTTAAAAGACATAGCAATTCTTAAATGTAGATGCTATTCCACTAATGCTTTTGCCAAGATTTCAGGAAGTGATCACATCACCTTGTCCTGGTCTCAGCTGAGAGTTAGTTTTCCTCACAGTAGCTAGTATGGGGCTATGTTTTGGATTTGTGCTGGAAATAGTGTTGATAATATAGAGATGTCTTTGTTATATAGACATGGTTTTGTTGTTGTTGAGCAGTGCTTACACAGAGCCAAGGCCTTTTCTGCTTCTCACCCCACCCCACCAGTGAGCAGGCTGGGGGGGGCACAGGAAGCTGGGAGGGGACACAGCCGGGACAGCAGATCATAAATGACCAAAGGGATATTCCATACCATATGACGTCATGTTCAGTTTATAAGGGGCTTGGTGAAGAGGAAGGAAAGGGGGTGTCGGCATTCAAAGTGATGCTGTTTGTCTTCCCAAGTAACTGTTACGTGTGATGGAGCCCTGCTTCCCCAGAGATGGCTGAACGCCTGCCTGCCCATGGGAAGTGGGGAATGAATTCCTTGTCTTGCTTGTGTTCATGCCTTT